AATCATTGAAGTCGATGGAGTTGGCTCAGTTGAGGGATTCGGTTCAACGATTGACAGGAAATCAAGAAAGTTCTTCATCGACCTGCGCCCAGAAGCTGCAAAGGAAGACTTTTTCTTGGCTCGTGGAGTCTGGGCCCGAGCTTTCCGGATCGTCTCCCGATCTGTGGCCAAAGTGGCATTGGGTCGGTTCAGCACGACAATAAATGATGTGTATGTATGAATGTATCCGGCAGCGTGTGGGCAGCTCGGCAGAACAGTAACTCGTTGAAATCCCATACTTTCTGGAGTTGATCCATCTTTACTGAGGACTCAACAATCCTTCCCTTCACAGTTTCACCTGTGTAGAAGAAAACCCAAAATCAGAAAAATTGAGAATCAAAGTTAGAACAGAAGGCAAAGGATATCAAATACCTGACATGCCTTCTTCGTAGGGACAGCGATAAGATGGAGTGACACTAGAAGCATATTCCCAGTTACCAGAGACAAACACTACATCATTCTCATAGCCCTTGTTTGAATCTAGAAGGTGAATTACCAGATATCTCTCCTTCTTCCTCACCGACAGGTAGTAGCTATCTTCGGCAGCCTTGATGATGTAGCAATACAAAATCTCCCACAACCCAAGACTCAAACCCAGATTGTTCAAGGAAGACACCCCCATGACAATCCGAAAAAAGTTAAGGCAGCACTAGAGAGGACAGAGTTTTGCAGCAAAGAGAACCCAGATGAGAAGAGGGTCAAGAGGAAAACGAATCCCACCTTTGGTAATGGCACGTGTAGGAATGAGGATTCTCTCTCTTGTGCCAATTAGGGGCTCATCCTTTCCAGCAACTCTAACCTCAACATCGTTTGGAATGTTATACTTGATTTTGAAGGCGGGAACTTCTAAGGGAGTAAGAGGGGCCATTGAAGAAGACAAAGTTTAGAGGAAGAAAATACAAGAAGAAAGTAAGTTTGGAAGCAAAGAGGCGAAGTGAATGAAATAAAAAGAAAGTTGGTGTATAAAGAGAAGGGAATTTTAAAAGGCAATATTTAAATGCCCTGAATATGCCGCCAGAATAAAACAAGATGTTACAAAGTACAAATAATGATGATGAGAAGAAGAAAAAATGGCTAACAGACGAAAAGTGTCTATCAGACATTCTGGGGGCAAATGAAGGGGTTAAACCTCATGATTACACATGACATAGCATTAAATGTACTCACATGATGTTGACAAGACAAGGCACGTGATCAAGAATCCTTTATCAGAGTTTTTTAACCAAGCTAAGCTAATCAGAGGTTTAACAATGGCAAGAAAAAGATCGGCCCTCTTTATGATCGAACTCATCAGTCTATTCAACTAAGCAATGAAAAATCTTGGCTTGTACCAAGTCGAGTCTGTTAAAGTGTTCGGCAAGGCAATTAAAGAGATCGGTTTGTACCAAACCAAGTCCCTTAATCTATTCGGCAAACATCAATTGTGCTTGGCATTCGATATGACCAAGCTGTTTCACATGATAAATAGAAAAATAAAGACTCGTCTATAACTTAGGCAATCAGATAAATGAGTCAACAAAATTATAGATATCAGGAGGAATTGTTGGAGAAACATGAGCAACTTCCCAAACTAAATGACTGAATTGACGGAAGGTGTGCCACCTTGAACCTAAATTCATGGAAACCCTAAGGGGATAACGATCTATAAAAACCAAAAGGAGCCAAGGTAAAAGGTAGGCTGAATCCTCCTTGTCTTCTTCCATTCGTTTCATTATCCTTACTGACTAAAGTATCGGAGTGTCTTCGATCGAAACACTTCAATCTTGGGTTGTGTGTTGGTTTTGCAGGAAGAGGAAGAATGGGAGATCAAGTTCAGAATCTCATAACCATTTCAATTCCAGTAGAAGGTAATCTCAATTTTTTGTCTCTTACATTTAATATTTTTGCTGAATTTGAAAAGAAGTTTATCTAAAAAAAATTCAAACAAAGAGGTCATTGTCTACCAAAAAACTATTGCAACTTTGGTGCAAAGTCCATTCATGGGTTTTAGGAGCAGCAGCAAGCAGAATAAATAAGCCTTACAAGTAGGAATGACACTAATTAGACATGTTTGGTGTGAGATTAGACAGATAAGAACATGTGTTTTAGCTTTATGAGATACAATGAACCAAATGCCCTAGACCTAATCAGAAGATTCAAATCACTCATATTATACTCCCCCTGCAACGAAACCCAAAAAATCACAATTAAACAAAAGTTCCCAAAACTAGCTTCTTAGAGGCATAGTGACCAAGACCATGTTGGTTATTTTGGGGATTTGTCTCCTCTTAACAGTATCTTAACTGTCAAAAGTGAACTGGTTTTGTGTTTTTCAATGATAATGATTTAATCAAACACTGTAAACAAAATAGGTTATTTATTTATAATTACATTTTTTAAGGTTTTATGTCTTCAAAGTTCATTGTATGTGTCCAACTTTTTCCTTAATCCTGTTATTCTAGTTGGTGCATTGACATGTTACGTACATATAATATATGTATTTTTAAGATATACATACAAGTATATGTATATATATATATATGATAATGTTGAGTAGAAATATAGTTTGATGCATTGAACTGCCAACCATGTGGCTATCACATACAAAACAATGCTTCGTTGGGTTTTGCCAATAAATTGATTCTTGTTTAAGCACGTTGCACAATGGATGTAAAAATGTTAAATACATATCAAGCACTTGAGATTCCTCATATAGTTCTAATTGGTGTTAGCTTCGATACCTTTGTAATGCCCCAACCTCGATTATCGTATCAAAAAATAATTTTTCAATACGATATTCGTATTTTCAATAAACAACAACATGACACGTGTAAAATTTTTATATTTTAACATTTCATTTGGCTTTATTATTTTCAAGAATTAATATTGACTTCATTAACGGTCACAATAAACCAACATAAGATTTACTGCTCACAACAAATATTGGTATGATACAAAAAGTATTGTTGTGCGATTCTTTATTATATTGCTCGTTTTGAGTTAAGTACATTGTACAATAGAAGTTTTAAGTCTACTCTTGTGAAGCACCTCACCTACACTAAGTGGGAGTTGATAAATTCGGCTCATCTTATCCATTTAGACCCCATAACTCAAAAATGTTGGTTTATATATTTGATGGGTGGCCGCTTGAATAGCAATGTTTTGTTGAGTTTTGGGGTGTTGTATGTCATATGTTTTTACTCTTATTTCTTTGGTTAAATTACAATTATATGCCTAACATTATACATTAAATATAATAACAACTTTTTTATTTTTAAGAATACACTAAAAAAGAGATCATACATTGTCAAATTTAGTATTACACTCTCATATTTTCTTAATGTAACTTATATAGTGGNAAAAAAAAAAAAGATTAATAATAAGGAATGGAAATTGAATGATTATAAACGCTCTTTTCTTTTATCAGTTTCTCTTTATCGTTTGACCAGGATGGTGAGCTGAATTTTTCATGAAAGAAAGTAAGTAACTTTGATAGATACATAACTTTGCCAACTGATATAACTTGAAGAAAAGATTCTAAATCCAACATTAAGTTGACGTGTTAGGTAACTTTCAAACATCATACACTATGCACCCAAGGAAAGTCAATCCCTTCTGCATTGTTGCAAGGTCAATAATTGCATTTATGAGACTACAGTTTCAATGTCTTGTTTGCTGCCTAGACCCTGCCACAAATACATCAAAGTTTAAATTTGGTAGCACCATCTCTATCTTCATGAATTATACATGAACCCCATACATACCCTAAATTGTCCCTTCCTTGTCACATTAGTGCCATATTATTCAATATTCATAGCCCAACATCCTTTTTTGTTTCGGGTAAGTTCGTATCCCCAACATCAAACCAAGTTTTTGTTAAGTCTCTTTATGAATTGAGCTTGTTCTTTACTTAGCTATATATATATAATCGACCTAGGGTATATATATATATATATATATATATATATAT